TGTGGAGATGTGTGAGCTGAGGACAGATCTACAGGGCCCATTTTCTATTCAGTTCAAAGGAGATGGATTTAATTACAAGTGGCATAATTTGAAAAGATTTTGTAGTTCACAAAAGCTCTTAAAAATCCTTGCTGGCAAACTAAATAAATAATCCTTTATTGCATCTCTTCATCTTTGTATGGCTGCAGGCTGTTTAACAAGGACCTCTGCTGTTTGTTTAATTTATTACACTCTCTTACACTTCACAGTCTTCCAATTTTTTTAATGAGTTCTCATTTTGTTGGTCTTTCACAACAGTTTTTCATGTCCCTTGTGTGCTTACATGCACCAGCTCTCTGTCACATAAAAAATTGCGAATCCTTCAATACCAGCTGCTGTAGTTAATAAACTTGTAACTTTACCCTCATTGAACTATGTCAGATCCATGTAACATCTGGCATGTTTTAATTTCTATGCTATTGAGAGTTGAATTTTATTAAAAACTCCCAGATATGGACCCGTCAAGAATTTCTTTGAACTGCAGCTTCTTTAAACCCCTCAAACTGCTTCTGTAACTGTGAAGAATTTTAATTTACAACTAGCAAGTATTTATCAATTTTTAATTTGTTTTATTTGTGATATAGATTTAAAAAAAAAAATAAAAATTCTCTCTTGTTTTCTGATCTGGTGAGTAACCCAACCAAGTGAATAATGGAATACCATTTTATTCCTGCTGAGCTGATCTTTCTGTTTGTGTTACTGAATCTGTACCTACAATCAAGACCTCTGGACAAGAGGAACATTCAAGTGATGATGGTTAAGTTAGAAAATCAGTTTTGTTTCTCTTTCTGTGTCATGTGATATTTTTGTAGCATGACTATTCCTAATATTTTTATTAACTCTCAATTTGTGCCTTTTTTTACTTAGTGGTGCTATCCTTATTACAACTGGATTTCAATAGCTTTTTTCCCAGGTCATAATTAATCCTCCAGAGTTTTTTTTGCTTGTATCCTGTTTAGTCCCAAACTCCTGCCCTACCACCTGCTCTCTCACCCTTACATCTGCTTCCCTGTTTTTAAACAAAAACCTTGTCAAGGAAGGTCTGCTGGAGTGTGTCAAAGGGTTAATACATTTCTCTCTCACACTGCAATTTAATGAATCATCTTGGATATTAGCTCATCTGAGACTACCCCAAATGATATATCATCTGTTCAGGCACTTTCAGGCAAACCATATCATTAGCACTGCTTCCACAGCATCCTCTCAGCTGCGTGAAAAAGCAATTTGAAAGACAGGTTAAAGCATTTTATTGGTTTCACAAAAGGGATGAATGAGGGGAGAGACAAAACAGAGCAATGCTCAGCTGAGGCCTCACTGTCACCACCTCTTCTCCTTGGTTCAAGGTTATGGGGCTGCACATCAGCTCATGTATCGGGTCTGACACATATCCTTCTCTTTTGGCTAGATAGATATAACAGTATTAATGTGAAAATCACTTTACATGGGAGACTTGGGGGAAACCCTTTTCTAGAAATGGGTATGACTCTTAACAGCTTTTTAAAGAGATAAAGCAAAGGGTCCAGACCTTTAAAATAAAGCAAAGACCCATTAGAGAAGAGCCACTAGAGAAGTTTAGTCTGTGCAGACTGGAAAACCTACTGAAAATAAGTTTTCTTATTTGTGTGCTTCTCCCATTCTAGTTCAGAGCAAAGGCTCTGTCTGCATTGCCCTGTATGCTGGATTACGTCCCCCTCCTCAAACTCTGAAGAAAGAACACAGTAGTCTACAAATATAGTTGCTTACTAGAATACCTATAAACTAAAAATTAACAGCATGTTTCATTTATTTTCTATGCTGCAATGAAACACAGTCTTTTCCTTGACTCTCATGTCTATTGTCAGAGGTGCCAGGATGCTTTGGGAAGGCAGTGAGCTTGGAGAGGATAATTCATAAAGCCAAATTCTCTCTGCTGACATACAGATGTGTTCCAGCTGTAGGAAGGACCAAGAAATAAGATTGCAGTGAAAAGTGATGGAAAGGGAATAAAACCACTCACAGCTTCTAATTGGAATTTGAATTTAGCAAAATAATCCCTTTCACCACGCTGAAGTGCTAGCACTCCAGGGTAAACGATCACGTAGCTAATAGAGATAACCAGTAACAACAGTGTAAAACAATTGCCCTTCCACATGGAAAACTTTGAGCTAGTAAATAACTAGCTGTGTGAAAAACACCATGAAGAGACAGACTGTTTTACATCAGTCACAAAAGTAACATCAGATCATTCCTAATGCAAATAGCATAATTTCACTCTAATGCATTTGTAGTTAGCTTATTGACACTAACTAAAACTTTGGAAATCACTAATATGCTACTTTTTTCTCCATGTTTTGTTTCTTGTCTGTAAACAATGAAGTCTGAACTAAGAATAAAAGATGGACCTCCCAAACCTACAAGCTCCATGCACTGTGTTTGGTGTCTTTATGACTCTCAGATCATGCGTCTCTCTTAGAGAAAATGAAGACTGGTGATTAGCTTTGACTCTCTGTACATTCAGTTTATCAATCCAAAGCCAGCTAGGGCTGACAAAGGCTGAGCAGTCTGTATGTGACTTGAAGAGGGCATCCCTCTTCAGTATTTAATTGACTAATTTTCACTCCAGTTCAGAATTTTCTTTTTTATTTGATTGTATTCCATTTTAATTCGTCTTCCCTGTGCTTGTTTCACTTCATTACCTGATTTTGAGGTTTCTTCTCCTTTAATGTATATTCATTTCATGAAAGGAAATGAAATCTTGTGATTTCTATGAATATCATTTCAGCAAGTTTCAATCCATTTCACTGCAATTTATGTCATCCCATTCCATTTAATGCTATTCACTTTTGTAATTTTGTTTTTTTTTTCCAGTTGCATTTCTTATATCATCTGTCTTCTTCTGCCTGTTTGTTTCAATTTGTTTAAATTCTTTTCCAGATTTTGAGATTTCAGCGAGTCTTGTTTTGGCGTGCTTTGGTTCTTTTCACCTCATGTCATCCCATTGCAATTAATTGTATGCACTCCATTTTCAAATTTTCTTTATTTGTTGCAATTGCATTCCATTTCAGCATGTGTCATGTCCAGTCTATCCATTTCACTTCATTCCCTGATTTTGAGAATTAATTTCATGATTTCATGATGGGAAATGAAATCTTGTGGTTTCAATGGGCAGCATTACTACATTATTCACTGCTCTCTTTACACAAAGAGATCACAAGAATCAGATCCATTCTTTTTGCCACTTTTATATTGAGAATTCATGTTCTGTTATTTTTCACAGTTTGGTCTTGAAAGCATTTATATCAGCCTGATGACTATCTCATTGTCTCAAAAATCTTGTTTATATTTTCCAGTATTCTTGCATGACACTTAGGTCAGTCATTCTACAACATCTTTTTTTGTGTCCTTTCTCCATTTTCAAATGTGGGTACTATAATGGGCTTCTGCATTGCTCTGGTACTTCTCTTTTTCACCATGTATTTGGTGAAAAGGTTCCTGAGTTTGTTGGAGATGGTGGAAGTGAGGCTAAGTGTTTGTGTATCACAGGTAAGTAATCTCTGGCTTGTCTTTGTTCTAGCCTGAACAGTTACCACTTTATCACTGATGTTAATTGTGTCAGCCACCTGAGCCCAGTTTACTTTCTTAATGAAGATAGAAGCAGAAAGATCGAAGAAAAAAATAAGGTACTAAATGAATTGCCCTTGCAAAAGCCATCTGCTACCAGATTTTTTTTTTATTTAGTGAAGGACCAGGTCATTCAGTTTGTTCTGATTTATCATATGTAATCCATTGTAACCCTTCCCTTCTCTGCCTCAAATATTTTCTGAATGCATTATAAAAATGCCATGGGCATTTTTGTGGTGGGCTATCTTTTCCTCATTGAGATATTTCATTATTTTCATTTCCTCATGTAATTCTCGTTTCTGGGTGAAACTCGTTTAATTTCTTTTAGCAGCATAGAGTTTTTTTCAGTGAATTATGGTTTATCCTCAAACTTTTATAATCAAATTACTTCCTCATTAATGGAATTTCCTAATGACCTTTTATAAATGTCTGGATATACCAGCATCTCAGTTTTCCTGCAAACCTTACACAAATTCACAAGTGGTATTGCTGCCCTTCAGAGAGATTTTCTTAGAGTCTTAATAAACTCTGTTAGAAAGTGACCTCTTAGAGTCAGCTCTGCCAACTCAGTACATATCTCAGAGCTGCAGCTATCAGCAAATCTGGACAATCAATGTCAGTGTTAACCTATTCTGCAGGTGGCTGGCTGGCCATCAGACACCTGGTAAATAAATAGCTGTGTGAAAAACACCATGAAGAGACAGAGTTGTTAATCAAAATCCCTTCTGCAAAAGAGTCATTAGAGCTTTGCTTGACATGTGTCAGCCCTGTCTCAACAGGGGTGCTCAGGGGAAATGATGCTCACAGCACCTGCTGTGTGATGTGGGCACGCCTGAAGTGGCTGCTCACACTCTGGAGGTGCCCTGCAGGTTGGACCCCAGGAAGCAGAAGAGGGGTCACCAACATTGAAAACCATTCTGGGGCTCAGGTACAAAACACAGCAGCACCAGTGAGAGCCAAGCATGTACCCTCTGTGCAAAAAAATCAAGGGAAGGTGTCGAGTAGGGATTGTTTTGGGAAGGCAGTTCCAGTGTCTTGATGTTTATGCAGTACCTGAGTGTAGCTATTGATTCTTGGATATGGACAATTAAAACATCATTAGGATTTCAATCTGCCTTGTGCATCCTGACTAAAATCAGGAGAAATAATGTGCACAGTTTGCACAGAACACATGAATACAGATCGTCAAACATGGCAAATGCTCTTTTATTTCCACTAGTTCAAATATATCTATTAGAAAGTTTGGTCTGGTTTTTCTTTTCACACAGCTCAGAATGACTTTAGTAAGGGTTTAGTCCTTTTAAAAGTGTCTACAGGGACTTACCCTTTTTTCCTCAGGAAAGAGAAAGATAAGCAAATCAATAAAATAAATTTTACAAAATTTTGTTGATTCATTAACTTCAGCAGGGTGCCAGATTGAGCATCTACATGGAAACAGCCATGGCTCTGACCTGCATTGTAAACTGTCTGTAATTTAACAGTGAGTGAAGCTTAGGGGGAGCAATTGCTTCAAATGTTTGCTGCCATTAGCTTAAGGGAGAGGAAATGAGATGAATCCAGAAGTTTTCATTTCCAAGCGAAGCATGTCAGACAGCACAGCACAAGACCTTTTTAAATTGCAATATGGCATCATATTAAACAGAGCTTGTCTGTGTTTCCTTTGGCTTTCCATCAGTTTACATTTTTTCTTAGATGTAGTAGTAGCAAATCTCAGAGCTTTTTCCCCATTTTCCATAATGCAAAATTAATATGTGACTATCTGTGGGTCTATAGCTCTCAGCTGACCCACTGCTGCTCATCTCAGAAGTACCAGTGGTGAACTTAAATGGAGACATGGTGTGAAGGGACTTCTATCAGAATGTTTTACTGCTGTTAATGAAATAAGAGAATAGTAATTAATGTGAAATGATGCCTGAAATTGAGTGGCAAGCTCTAGCAGGTACTGATGGCCTAGACAGTTATACAGGCCAGCAGCAGAGCATCTGGATGGGCCTGGGTTCCAGCGGGGTGTTTGGGCTGTGCCTCTGCAGTATCACCAACACGAGGGAGGTGGCTGGGGCTGGGCTGCCTGAGCAGGGATAGGGAATGCCAGGGCTGGGCTTGGGAGGGCAGGCTGGGGCAGCAGGGCCTTGAGGTCTGATCCTGCCTGTCTGGGGGATAAGGAGGGGCAAGAGGTACCTACTGAGCTGGTGGCTGGATAGGAGGCTCGAGGAAAAGAAGGGATCTTGCTGGAGACAGCATTAACCATCAGACAAGAAATGGCCTGTGATTTTAATTGCTGATTCCCAGGCATAAGTGGTTTCTTACTCTGGGAAGTGAGGATGTGAACATTTAGATTAAAAGAGCAGGGGGTTTGTGACACTGGGGATGAGAGACTGATATGCTGCTGCAAGGGCATCCAGGCATGAGGCCATGCATCCCTGGAAGTGAGCTCCTCCTGTGCAGCCTGAGGCTGCCAGTGCTGCCATCCCTCACCTTCCTGAGAGGTGACAGCTTTTGGGGCTGGCAGGGAAACTGCACTGGGATGGGCTGTCAAAGCTGCCTGCAAGGAAGTCACCAGAATGGTGACTGTCCCTTGGAGCTGGATCCTGTGGGCAGTTAGCACAGAGAGTTGGCCTCTGGAAATATGAGATTTTGATGATTCCTGCAACTTAAAAGACTTCCTATTGAGATGGTTGTGATGAGCCTTTGTCTTGAAGGGCTTCACTGCTAGGGAGAGGAGGGAGGTGGGTGCTTTTGTTGGCCAAGGATGGTATGGTTAGAGATGATTCCACTTCTGACATTCTTTTTGTCAAGCTTAGATTCCGTCTGGCAGGGAGAGAAACAGGGGAGGTGTTTGTGATGTGTCAAGTGCTATTTGCATGTCAAACAGTGGTGTTCTGGCTGGGGTGGTTCAAGGGTTCTTGGGATCCTCCACCAGCTCACAGGGTACTGCAAGGGAATGAGAACAAGTTTTCAGACGTACAAAGTGGGATTCATCTTGTTGAACTTCAGTGAGTCATCTCATCCTAAGGCCAGCATGTAAATTGGTTCAGGTGAGTTCCTCTCAGCAGGCACCCAGGTATTTTTCAGGGTGTGAGTCTTATTGACCATCTCTGTCACTGATGATGGTATGCTCTCTGCTCAGAGGGAGGGGAGCTGCCTCCCACCAGCCTGTGGAAGTGACCTGTTGAGTGTCTTCATCCTGCTGCTGTAGATATCTCAGATATGCCAACAAAATACATCACTCTATTTTATGAGATTTCTCCCCTCTGTTTATTCCAAGTCTGTAGTTAATTAGGTGCAGGCACCAAAGTGGTAGCTCTCAGCAGCTTAAAAAACAACGTGGAGATTATTGGAGTTTACCCAGCCTACCACTTCTCTATGTAGGCAAAGACAGAGACAGACAGGGTTACAGGCACTTGCTTCAAGAGCAAAACAAAAGTGGCAATTCAGGAAAGACTCATCAGTGACTCTGACAAAACCAAGTTAAAAGCATAAGGAGCACGTAAAATATTTGTAAAATTCAAAAGTCACCTAGAACAGTACTTACATGTAAATTTTCTTTTTGCTCTCATGGAAGCTATGAAACATCAAAAGATGGAAGAGAAGCACAGCATTTTTTTTTTAAATAAACTTTTAGCTGATTTACTTTTCTTAATTAATCTTCTGTGTCACTTTCTATCCTTCTATCCTGTTGTTTATTACACATACTTGTGACAATCATGAGGCCTTCGCACTGATTACAATAAGTGTGTTCAATTAGATCAGGCTTTTTTAGGTAAGAATGTACAAAAACTGAGATGGATCAGAAGCTAGTAGAAAAATTTCACCTAGTCTTTTATATAAGAACTTTAACTTAGCTATCTAATATAATGTCTATCTTTTGAAGCAACTAAAATTGTTTGTGGGGACTCCTTTTTCCCAAAATGTTAAGGCTCCCAAAAGCAAAGTAGAAGCATGAACTGGACAGTCATGAGAACAGGCAATGTATCCGTTTTCTAAAATTTGTTTTTGAAAATTTTTCTATTTTCTTGTTCTGTTTCTGTGTCTTGAGGTATTCTAAAAGTGTGAAGTCCAGTGCAGCCTGAAAAGATGTAATGCAAGGTTGAGAAAAAATGGCTGTGGTGCTTTCTAATATCTGCTCAGTGATGTAATGCAAAGCAGATTAATGTCTCTCCTCCAGCTGGCAATCTCCTGTGGAACTCACTGACACATATTCATACACCTACTCATGATTTTTCCCTTTTTGTGGCCTTAAAAAAATACCCCAAACCAAGAGAGTCTGTTTCTGCTCACAGAACTAGCAGATCCTGGCCTGCTCTGCTGAAACATGATTAATGAAGTATAAATGGGTAGTTTTCTTATCGAAGGGCTACTGACAGATTAAAGGCTGATTAAAGCTGACTGTTGTTTATATATGGAAGGAGGCAACTACTTGATTCCTGGTGGGCAGCAGTCACTATGAAAGTTTGTTTGCTTTTGATGGAGATGAAGGATAGACAGAAGGATTCCTCTAAGAGTACAAATGCTTCTCTAGGATGGAGCAGCCAAATGCTCTGTATGCGGTATGTAAATAAACAGTTTTTGTATATTAAAAGGTATATGAATGCATTGAGAGTAAGGAGTTCCACTCTTAATAAATCCTGCATCAGGTAATAAACTCACTGATATCAAAGGTCTCCATCTGCTCCTTAGAGATAAGCTCTTATGTAATTTGATACTTATCAAAGACCTGTGAGTTTGCAAAATTTACTTGGGGAAATCTTCTGAGCAAAGGCCGTGACAAGCCATTTGTGAAACCAGCATGATATATTTCACAGCTGCCAAACCACTAGAGCATTCTTCCATGCAGTATCTGAGAACACTTGAATTTCTTGCTGAAGCATGAGAAGCTAGGGAAAAGAGCTAATGTTGGCTCAGACACATGCAAAATATCTTCAGGTTAAGAAGGTTTGGCCACCAGGAAGCCTGTGAGCTGTGTCTCACAGTGCTTCATTAATGCTAACAATACACAATGCTCCATCCTAAAATGTACCCCTGTGTGCCATGACAGCAGAGGTTTCAGCAGCTGAATCAGGTTTTCATGGTGTGTATCCTGCCTGGCAGCTGCAGGGAGCATGGTCCAGCTTCATTCAACACGAGTCTTGTTTGCAGCATCCCCGACCTTGACTTGGAAGCTGTGTTTAAGCTGGTCCTTGCCGAAGTTGGGTTAAGCTTATGCCTGTACCTGGTCTTGCACCTTGCTGACCCACACCTACAGGCTAATGCCTTGACTTGAGCAAGGCTGGTGCCTGTGCAGCTGTGCCCTTCATCTGTGGCTTGCCTTTTTGCCTATTGCAGACCAACCATCAGATAACTGCTTCCCTCTGGTGATGAGCATCTACAAGGAAAATCAGTCGCAAGTTATTGCCCTTACTCTTAGAAACTACTCTCTGAAAAGAGGATCTGCCTTTCTTGGTGTCTTTTGCAGTCACATTTTATTTTTTTTTTTCTAGGAACTGCCTTATTTTGTTCTGATCTTATTGCTCATGATAAACATGTGCTGGCTGATAATATTCAACAACCGTAATTTCAGCAACAAAAAGTTTGAAAAAGTTTTGAAAGTCTATTTGCCAACATGTCAAGTGGATTTTTTTTAATACATACTTTGATATTTTCCTTTCATTTTCTCTGATGGTGTCTCCATAATTTCAGCTTCCCTGCAGTGAACATCACAGTATTTACAGCATACAGAGACAAGAACAGTGTTGAAAAATAGGCTATTCAAGGTTTATTTTATTAGTTCAACATCACCAAATAAGTTTAGGTAAGTTGGAGGCAACTTTTTTACCTCGGAGAGGTAAACATCCAGGCCACTGTGTCCATGCTGAGGTTGTTTGAAATTAGGCCAGTGGCAAAACTGCAAGCTGTAGTTGCTGCCTATAGTCAGAGTCCAGCACCACATCCTCATGCAACAGCCTGCCCTGACACGGCGGGATGCAGGAGAGCAGCTGGCCCTGCTCTGTGAGGAAAGGAGCAGCCCTGCTGGGAACCACCCTGTGGGGTATCATTCCTCACTAATGAGCTAAAGTGGAACCAGGTGGAGTGCAGAGGCAACACGAGGAGAGATTTTGTAGAAAGCCCTGGTGTCAGTGTGACTACACAAATAAATGGATGTTTTCTTATTCAGATATGTAACAACAGGAGAGCTGAAGAAGGCTGCTGACAACCCAGAGGGAAACACTTTGCTTTGCACTTTGTTTTGAATCTATAGCAATGTCTGGCAGTATTTTTTGAGGGTGTATGGAAGGCTGGTATTTTTATGTTAACCAAAATATGTGGTTCTCATTTTCTCTGTCACGAATTTACACAGTCCTAAAGACTTAATCTGCTTCCTTCAGGTTCCATTAAAACCTAGGTGAGAGCTTGGCTTTTGCAAGAGGCTGCCTTAACCGAGGCATGAACCTCCACCCTCCTTAAAGGCTGCTCCATATGTTGTAGATAGACCTGCTGGCTGCATTTACTCCCATCAGTTCCAGGCACTGAATTCAACAGTTAGAGCAGGAGCTTAGTGTCTTCCTTAGATCTTTCTATACTTGACCTAGGAAAATGTGCATCTTCATCCAGTCTGGAAAAAAAATTTGTGTTTTGCTGCCTTTCTCCTTCCATCCCCATTGAACAACTCTGTGGTGACTGTGTACTATACTTGTCTGTGGTAAGAGAAATGAATCTAGGCACGATTAAGTGCCAGGATGGTATTTGATGTTGGCTTGCTGAAGGCAGGAGGGATTTTATATGGAGGAATTTTCCCCCTATGTTTGGGGATTTTCTTATTTAACCAAATTCTGTTATATTATTTGGTATGCTTATTGGGATTCCAGATGGGTTTTTTTAAACATACACAATACATGAAACCACTGAAAAGCAATCTCTGTGGAATCCCTTTGGATTTCCTATAAATATTTAGCTTCCACACCAGCTTTCTATCTTGTTGTTTCTATCCTATAATAAGATCCTTTAATATAGCTCCCAGAGCTGCAGTATAGAACCTTACACCTTATAAAAAGGAAATTTGCAATGGATGTAAGGAAATTATATCAGAAATATCCCTGCAAACAGCTTGCCAGTGAGTTAGAGAATGTGTCAAGGCTGGCATTATGCCAGCACTGGGTGACCACTGCTCTTGGATATTTTTCTAAAGTTAAGTTTTTTCTAAAGTCTAATTTTTTACATATGTTCATTCCCCAGCCCTCAAAGAAATATTTTTGCAATGATCTTAAAAAACTGAAAAAAAAAAAAATCAGTGACAGCCACTGGGTCCTTAGAATAAATTTTTAACAACAAGGAATGTAGCACACACACAATAGAACTAAGTAGACTGACTATAAGAAACAGATTTCTTTAAAGATAAAGACTATGATCAGTAAACAAGACAAAATAGATCTTTTACCTTGGGGGCAAACATATGAAAGGAATAAAAAACCCAGTGTGGTGAATTCTTTCTAGCACTATGTCCTACAGATGAGGGCAGAAGTTCCATTACTGCTAAGTTTGGTTAGGAACTGAGGTAGGAACAAGGGAGTGTTTAATGTGCATTGCAGTCAGCACTTTAAGTAAAATTCCTCTCTGGGGGGTGTCTGCTGCTAGTGTTTGCATAGATTTCACTCTGTGCAATTTGGTATAAATCTCTATTGCAAATACCTCTGCTTGGCAAGGGAGTTGTTCTTGCCACCAGAGACTTTTTTTAGCAATCAAAATCCAAGCAGACCTCTACCCTGCAAAACCAAACAAAACCTAGCATTCCTAACCCCAAAACTCTAAGACATGGAGCTTTTCCTCCCAGTGCCATTGTATCATAGAATGGTTTGGGTTGGAAGGGACAGAAGAGATGATCTTGCTCCAACCCCCCTGCTATGAGATGGGACACACTCCACTGCCCTTGGCTGCTCAGAGCCCCATCTAACCTGGTCTTAAACACTTCCAGGGATGGGGCATCCACAGCTTCTCTGGGCAACGTGTTCCCAGGTTATTCAGCAAGCTTTCCCAAGTGTTCAGCATCCTCTGACGGTAAAGAATTTCTTCTGCATACCTAACCTGAATTTCCCCTGTTGCAGTTTGAACTCATTGCTCTTTGCCTTATCACTACAGCTGCTGATAAAGTTTGCCTTTCTGGTTCTCTTGTAGGTCCCCTTAAGGTATTGGAAGGTTGCTATGAGGTCTTACAATCTTCTCCAGGTTGAATATCCCTTACTTTCTTAGCATGTCTTCACAAGAG